CTTACAGCAGTAAGTGGATGTACTGGGAGCGACGAGGTCCCGACAGAACTTATGCGTATCGTGCTCAGCAACTCTTGAGCTTATCGAAAGGGTGTCAGCATCCACAGGCCGCTTGAATCTCGACTCGAATCTCATAGGGCTGTCGAGCGAAGAAGATAGGCGAAAAAGCCGGTCTTAGGGTGGGTTGACGCTAACCCTAACTCCGGTTATATCCGGTGCAACCTCAATCACTCAACGGGCCCCAAACGACAAACGCACTGCTTCCATCGATGTTTCCACTATAGTATAAGCCTATCGTGCCGTACGCACATCACGATCCTAAGATATCGCCCTCGACCAACTGCATTTGGTTGGCTGTCTCGCGTAGAAGGAGCTGAACGGTCGAATGGTGGGCACGATCCCGTGCGCAAGATAGAGCAGTCCGTTTGCAAGTATTGCGAACCTCACAGTCGATAGCCGGACTGCTCAATAAAAACTGGACTGCAGCCAGATAGCCAGATACTGCTACAGTCACTAAGGACGTGCGCCTGTCTCAATCTCCGGCTTTCCGATCCGCGCCTTGGAAACAGCAAAACGCGATGGTAGCCTCATCGCCGCGAACAACGACCGAGAACAAGGATCACCTGCCAAGTCGGGTTCACACAATCCAAGTCGCCGCCGCTTTCGAAGAGTGGCTTGAAGACACGGTGGCCTTTCTGAGAGGAGATGATTAGATGGATACCGCCGCCGTGAAGGCTAGGATTCGCGTCTCTTTTCAGCAGAAGCTTCCCTACGGGCTCGTTACCCCGTGACTCGGCAGCAATGAGTCAAAAGCACTGATACTGATCCCGTCTAGCAATGAGCTTGACAAGTTGCTCTTCTTCACATCAGGCTACATGTAACAAGAAAGGGTACCAGCCATTGCTAATGCTTGGATCGACATCACTTGGGAGGAAAAGCCAAACCACCATTGTCGACACGCCCTACGGCGTCGAAAAGTGCAGGTATGAACTTCTCATACACTGTTCGAGCACCATGCTCTGTTAGCTGCCTAAGTACGCCCTCAAAGCCTCTGCAAGCCGCGAAAGTCAAAGGATGAAAGCTGCGCTGAGCGATATTCTGGGTGTTTCTGTTGTTGATGCCACACCTTCAGAGACGCTTGGGCCGCGTGACACACCAGCCTTGCTCAGAATTTCTGGCCGAGAGATATGTCAAGCACACGAATGTGATATTATATTATCCTTCGAAGATGTGAGATGAAAGCGAGCGGCCGAAAAAGTTGTAAGCCGTGGTATGCACCAGCTGAGTCACTTCAGTCTCCCCGTAAACAATGAAAAACTCCATGTAGCATGAAAGCAGCTTCTCATGCGCTGCGCAACCCCCCTCGTCAACTCAGGTTCTGGCCAGCTGCCAGCGTTACTGAAAAATCCGGTCACGTGATTCAGGCATTTCAAGGCTGCTTCACGTGTTGATCTCTTAGCTAGTTCAACCAACCAACCACCATGAATTCAAGATATTGTTCCGTATCGCCCGTGTCTCAGCTTCATCAAATTGATCTAACTAGTCTCATGGCCGTATCACATTGTCTCAGGAGACACCACGATGTTCTCATCACAAGCTTTGATCTCTACCAACAGTTCCCTCGGCTTGAGACCGTATAATTCATTTGTCGGACGGATCATAGACGATCGGACGACGTGTGCAAACTGCAGATTGGATATCATCTTCTGCCGGGGAGTGCCCCGGTACGCCGACCTCAATTAGTCTCTCTCGATCTCGCTGCGCGCCCAAACATGTTCGCTCACGATAGTACTTAGACTCGCTTTCTCTTCGCCTGGCCTGCTGGCGCGGAATATAATGCCCCATGGCGTTGGGCGCCATTCCGGGAACCTGGCACCCTGGACGAAAGCCCATCTCTTCGATTTGCGATCCCGGCTTGTTGCGGAGGCGACGCGAGGGGTTGGAACACCTGGCCGATCTTCATCATCTGGGCCGGGAGTGGATCCAGCGTCCTGGACATGTCCTAGAAGAAGACTTAGACTTTAGATCCTATCACAAACAGAGTGGTGGCTTCTTGTTCATCGATCACTTACCGACATCAATTCCACCGCCGTGGGCTCCCGGGTCAGCTCCGGCACCAAATTCAACAACTCTTTGGCGTAGCCTGCGGCCACGATGGAAGCATAGCCATGCCATCGGTCCGATTTGTGGGAGTCGGCATAGTCACTGATCCCACGGATCACCAGGCAGGGGAAGCTGTCCATCAGCCCCGCAGCTTCCATCTCCAGACAGATGATGTTCTTCTCTGTGCGGAGTTTGTCACGAGTCGGGCCGTGGAGCATAACCCGGTCCGCGGAGCCGATGAGCCCATAGTGAATGACGGGCTCGTCGCTTTCCCGCGCCGGCCGCTGCACCAAGTGACGTGCATCACATCGGCTGCAGTTCTTTGCATCAGCAGGATGTTCATATTCGGCCTGGTACAGATGGTCTTCTGTGTTTGGACGTCGGTATTTGACGGCCATCCTGGGCCGTTCCTTCAGGATCTCCCCGAGTAGTTGTGGGATGCTGCTGCCCCACATGTCATGCTGTTTCTGGACGCTCTGGATTGCTTTCAGGAGGATAGCCGGTGGCTTCCCCAGCGATCCGGCGTAGACAAATTGACCTTCGTGGACGATCTTTCCATGGTCGTACTGGACGACCCCACCTGCCGGAATGTGTGAGCCGTTGCCACGAAGCGAGGGAAAGGGCAACCGAAGAACTAGATATAAAACGAGAACGGCAGCTTACCATATTGGCCATTGGGGGTAGAAACCACCACATCTCCGAGGCGGATATCGTCGGTCGAGTCCTCGACGATCCGGGCTGGGATTCCGCCGCCGATGCCCACCATCAGACCGAAGCGGATTTTCGGAAAGCTGCGCAAGAGGTTGGTCGCAGTCGTGCTCGCAGGTGCCTTACCGGACATGCCAGCACCGAGTGATGCGACGACGATCTTGTGCTGTCCTATCCGTCCGTAGGAATAGACGTTGGAGTCGTTGGGGTCCTGTCGGAAAGCCGCAGGTGGCGCATATGTTTCATCCAGCATCGCTGCTGCTGCCACCAATTCGGTCGCCAGGGCACAAATCCAGCCCACCGTGTAATCTTCTCTGCTGAACCTCTCAGCCACGCGACCGCGCTCCATGTTCGATGACTCTAGAGCTCTGTGTCGGTCTTGGAGTGCCATGCTGAAAAGACAAGGTCTAGCAAATGGTCCTCTGGCGCAAGAACAGCAGGAAATGAGAAAAGTGACAGAAGTTGAGAGAAGAAAGCAGTCTTCGAGCAGTCGTAGATCGCGAGGAAGTGTATGCTGCGGATTTGTGTCGTGAAGACGTTGAGTTGGGAACTGTTCGTGCTTCTGTCGCTCAATGTTGGTTCGAGAGGCTGCGGCCTTTATACGCACACTTCCAGGTCCAAGGCCGTAACAGAGGTAAGCGTACAGTCGACTGCCTGCCCAATCGAGCTGGAACACACACCCTCTTTCTCTCTTTCTCTCTCTCCAACTTACTCTACCCTACGACTAGCCGGCGAAAGAGTGTGTGCGTGAGAGACAGAGTGGGGCGATGATTCACTCAGCCTTCCGGGATGGCCGTGTCGACCGCTCATGGTGGTTCAAACTCCCATCACACTTCGCTAGCGATCATATGTTTGATTGGCAGCCGCATCTATCTGGACGCAGTCAGCAAGTCTTCGATGTGCTAGCACCAGGCAAAATCACCGAGCATAACTCTGGCAGTTGGTCAAAAGAGATCCCAAGGGACTGTATGGACCTACTTCAAGGCTCATCACCTTGAAGCGACGTGTTAGTTTCTCTGGCCCCTGCCACTCATGGTGATTCCTGTCCCGCCCTCAGAGATCCTACAGAACGTGTCATATGATAGGATCTGCATGCTTCCAGGGCGGCTACAGAGGCGGAAGTTCGATGTTCGACATAGAATTGTGGTAAGAGGGCCGATTCCTGCCTGACGGGCGGCGATGCGAGTGGTTCGCACATTGTTTCAGGAGTGGCGGTCAAGAACTGGTCGGACAGAGGGGGGAGGACAAAATGGAACGAAGTGTGAACAAGGGGATTATGGATAGCAAGGAGGGAACAAAGAGAAAGGAACGGCCCATAATGAGGCCGAGAGAGCAAAGCGCCCAGATCGCTTTGTTAGGTTGCTACCGTTCAGTTGTTATAAAGACACAGTCAACCGTTTCATGTTGGCTTTGCTGTGCATGAACGACGTCTACAGTACTTCCGAGCGACAGATGAACTAGGGCTGCAGTTATGTACAATGTACAGTGTATAGTGTACAGTGCATATTACCCCTTGGGGCCGTCGGCACCGTATAGCATTGGTGTGGATTGTAGAGTTATCCATAGAACTTTACTACCATGCGCCCCAGGCGCAGTGAAAATGTTCGCTACCATATACTATATCCGTCTCCACGTGGCTGACGTGGAGTGGTCACTGAAGCTGGATGGCAGTAAGCAGGAGGTGGCGAATAGCTGCCCGAAGTTTGCTAGGTGTCTTATCACCCAACTGCACCATAAGTTACATACAGTACATGCGATAAGTCACCTGCTCCTGGTTCCCACGCGCATACGCGAGTTTAATGATTATCCTTCCTCCATACGCACACTCCACATCTTGAACCCAAAACCGCGCCTAAGAATCCTCAACCTCAAAGGAACCAGTGTTCATTCTATGCATCTTTGAGTTAGGGGGTGATGCATCTTGCGGTCATGCGATTTAGCCCTGCATTTTGTAAGTTCCGTGATGTTCTTTTACTGGTGTCGCTGGGCCTGACTGTCAATGAGGGTAGGCTTCTAAGTGGCGAATGAGGCCCAAAGTCATTGTCCGGTCCAGGTTCAGCAGTACGATCTCAGCCAGCCCTTGATAATGGTCTGTTTGAACCAGTGACAGTTAAGGCTCATCTTCTACATCTCGCTTGCATTTACAATGAACATGTAGCGACTAACAAAAGTAAGGGCATGATGCTCTCCGACTCCACCTTCGAGCAAGCGGGGTAACCCGGAATACTACATAGTATGTGTATTTCGCGCGGCCCGACCCGGGAGGAAGCTTGGCTACAATTCTACCATGGCATTTATGCTCTTCAGTCTGATCATCTTCCATTTTTGCTGCATACATTTGCATCACAATCATCATTCCACTTCCCAAAGTGAGAAATGGTCCTATCGGCTTGCCCAAATCCAGCAATCAGCTCGATCCCATCCCATGACTCCAGGATTTACTCATATGCAGCAATCGCGCTGGCGAAGGCAGCATCAACCGACGCAATGGCCGAGGCGATGGTCGTCTTATCGGTCGAGGTGGCCTTGGCCTCCAAGTCCGCTCCAAGCTGGTCAGTCTCGGTCTTGAGGGTCTCCACCGACGAGAGCAGGGTGGAGGAGACGCCGGCGGACGCGGCGGTGGATTCCTGTATAATTGGTTAGTCTCGCCGCGCACTTAATGACAGGTGCAATGATCTTACCTTGGCAATGATCTCGTTCAGGGTCGCGACAATGAGCACGGCCAGAGTGGACACCTCGGACGTGATGCTCGCACTGTCCGCGGTGCTGAAAGTCGAGGCGGCCACGGTGTCGGTGATAGCGGTGTCCAGGGCACTCTTGACGTTGTTGTAGTCGGTCAGAATGCCCAGGGCAGCCAAGAGGTCGCCAGTCCAGGCGGTCACATCGGTATTGAGGGTCGACACATCGGTGTAGATTGTCTTCAGGTCCGTCAAGACCGTCGCTGCATCGCGTCTGGCAATGGGGCCTGCCTGAGCGAGAACACCCAACGCAGCAACGAGGAGAGACTTGCAGAGCATGATGAATTAGAAGTTGGCTGGATGAGAAGACTGATTTGTTCGAGCTGATGATTTTTCGATGCTCTTGTCCAATGTCGATTTCATGGGAATCGATCGCCTTTAAATATCCCTAAATGTTGGAGCATGTCTTCTCTCTGGTCTTCTCCATGCGAGGGGAAGTCGACCGCTAACACAGAATAGCCACGGATGTCGAAGTCGCCATTCCAGCCTGCAATGCTTCAATCTCCGCAATAGCGCCGCACGTTGATGCAACCCCCTCATCAATCTATTCTTTCGCTCCCTTCGCCAACACTTGTTTTCACGTGTCGATGGTGAGGGCCGAGGACCCATGCATAGTGGCCTTCGAACGCAAACAACTCAGTCAGCAACATGTATTTCCCCTGTGCGGACTTGTTTGACTAGAGCCTTCTTCGGACCCTCTTGCGAGCCACTCGAAAGGATTTCAGTTCGACCTTGGGAAGGTACTTTCGAGGTCATTCCTCGACTCAACATCAACGGGTGTATCTTTTGCGAGCAGACAATCTACTGCTGTGATGTAGCATGAAGGACCAACAGTCGCCATGCTCAGGCAAGGTGTCTTGCTCAATGAGTACAGCCTAGATCCGACCGAGGTTGACGTTTAACCAGGTCGACCTGGATGCAGATACTTGTGATTCCAACGAGCCAATTCTGCACGGCCGCCATTTCACCAAGCGGATGGCAGGTGACCCAGTGTTGTTCTAGCCCGAGCTGAGGGGTCAATTTCCTCCACTACCCCGGATATTGTATAGGATTTGAAGAAACAACCGCAGTCCCTGATCGACGCCGAGTGGATGACCCCGCTCGAACGCTCGGGCATTAATCTAGACTCCGCACCACCAACCGCCATACACTCTATGCATGGCCGACCATTGGTTCCAATGTGTTTGTGGCGTCGGGATGCTCCAGAGTGCACCATTGGCTCACAGACCAAGCATCGTGCCGATCTCTTGCAGAGACGGAGTAGATTGGTGGCTAAACTTGGGGGATTGTAGCAGACACAGTTGGTTGCAGGGGCGGGAAGTTGGGATACTTCGACCTGCGGGAAGAACCGGGCAGGCGTGATGTGACAATACCTTCGAATTTCAAATTAGGCTATATGGCACTTGCTCCTGTAGCTGACCATGGCTCTGGTTGCGTGATGGCTGGGGGGGAAGTGTTCCTAGGCTGGGCTGTAACAGCAAAAACATAAAAAGAAATCGAAGTGCATCATCCGTGAATCGAACACGGGCCTCATCGATGGCAACGATGAATTCTACCACTAGACCAATGATGCTTCTATGAAAGAACGCCATGTTATTTAGTATATGCCCTTGCATACTCAGCGACAATCTGCGAATCCTCCCTCCTCTAGGTACTCCTCCGTTGTTGGGCCAACTTTACTCATATATCGAAATCTCGTCGAGTCGCTAAATTTTCCCTTCATCAAGAGGATGAATCTGACCTCGTTTGCGAAGGGTCAGATTGACTCAGAAGACCCAAGAAACAACGTCATTACGCCATCCAGCATGGAGCACGAGCAAGCTACGTAGCCCTGATATGTCAATGCGAATATATGTTTGTACTGTACCATCAACCTCCATCCCCAACGTATCCCCAACGTCGACAAGAGTTTCGTTTTCCCCGCGACCTATCGCTGCTCTATCTATCGAGAGAGCTCCATCAACCTCCAAAGTTCACACAGACCGACAAATCACAATACAACTCCCAGTCAAACAACATCCCGTGTCCAACTCACCCCCACCACTCACAGCAAAATCAATCAGCAAATCCACCTCATCTCTGTCGTGAATCAGAATGCCACCCCCTCGAATACGAAAGCTGGCGAAGCCACGTCCAATGCGAGTCGGGCAGGCATTGGCCACCGCGTAGGGATCGTCCCGCGCTGCAGTCGGGCTTGACATCATCGCCACTAAGGATTGCTTATCTGCCCGCCAATGCTGTCATCCCACCGAACCCTTGCTGCTGGAGAAGAAGTATCCTCGCACAAAACAGCGAGGATACCCTTCCACCGCACTTTGCGATCGACACTCTAAGCCTCCTCGCACAGCAGAGCAACTGAGGTGTATAGCGCCACTGACGTACACCCGTTGTGGGATTTCAGCATGGAGTTGAGGATATATACGCCTGTCTCAACCCCAACCCCAGCCTCCCCATTCTCCACTACACTATCCAGCTCCACTTCAACAAGCTTATACTCTATTCTCTTGACACTCAGCCTCCAAGCATCTAACGCTCGACGCTTAGCATTACCACCTTGACCTTGACAAGAAACCTAACCAAGATGCCTCTCTTCCACCGCAACTCCCTCTCCAGCTCGTCCGACCGCAGCATCGACGACCCCAACACCCACAACTACTCGCACCGCTCCCATCGCTCGCACCACTCCACCTCCCCGCGCTCCAGCCTCTCCTCCTCGTCCTCTTCCTCCCGCCGTCGCAGCAGCAGCCACAGCTACGGCCACCACAGTCACAGCCACAGCGGAAGCACCCACGGCCACTCGCGCTTCAGCTTCGGCAGCCGCCGCCACCAGGAAGACCCCTCCGTCCTCGCCGCCAAGGAGCAGGTCTCGCGCGCCGAGGCCGCCGAGCGTGAAGCCGACCGCGCGCTCCTGGCTTCCCGCCGGGCCGTACAAGATGCCCGCGAGCATGTGAGGCGTCTGGATGAGGAGGCGCGCATCGAGTATGATTCTTCCCTTCCTTTCCCTTCCTTCTCCTCTCTTCACCTTCCTGTCGGTGCTTCATTGGCAGAAGAAGCTAACAAGTGTTCGTGCTGCAGAGCCCGCGCCGCAAAGATGAAACAGGACCAGGTCAAGTCGATTACGAAACGGGCCAAGCCGCTGGGACGTAAGTGATTCGTTGCTGTGCTGTACACTTGGCTTGGAGGGTTGAGGTTTGGTGCTGATGGACTGTGTGTGTGGTTTAGGGCATGTTTGAGGGGGGTGTGCGATGCGCTCCCGACGCTTGATGTACTTGTACTATTATTGTCTGACTGTAGCTATATTGTCGGTTTTCTTAGCGTAGTTGGCTTGGTGCTTTTTGAGCGATGATTCTGGGTTTCGCGAAGTGGCGTGGACTGTACGATATGAGAGTGTATGATATGATATGATATGCATAGATGGTGGCAATTTATGGTTTTGTTGGTGTGCGTGTGCGACGTCACTTGCGCTGATCTGATTGGGAGAGGCGATGCTCTGATGTGCTCGTATTCATCTCTCAATGAAATAATTTGAGTTATGTTAGCTAATATAATCATCCATCTACTGTCGACTTTCCTTGATGATGTCTGCAGCCTTCTCAACCACCACAAAAACCGTGGCCTGGATGTTTCCCCGCGGGATCAGAGGGATGACCCCCGCATCCACCACGCGCAGATTGCAATATCCGTACACCCTCAGCTGGTCATCCACCACGCCCCCGATCGCCTGCGACAGCATGGCCATCGGTGTCTTGGATCGCCGGATCGATATAGCCAAACGACAGCTGATCGCGGATCTCGTCTGACGGTGGGGCGAAGGTTTGCGATCTACGTAGATAGCCCGACAGCGACTCCCAGCTCCATCAAGGATTGCCGAGCTGCTCCCACGTATCAATGTCGGATCAACTGGGGTAAATGGCCATTCCTAGATTGATGGCTGATGAACCACCCAGGGTGCGCCCATGAGGATCAGCGATGCATCGGCCATTGAGGGCTTCCTGGTTTCCACGCAGGGAGTGTCAGGGTGCATGAGACAGCTTCTGTTGAGATATGAGGGATCTTCCTACCTGTGGGGGACCGGTTAAGACACCAGTCGAACGCGGGGTCGAAATAGGTGCTGGCTGCTAATCCAGGCACCGCAATTCGCGGGTCGTCAACGCAATTACCGCCTGCCTCCAGCACCCGCACGCTCACAGTAGGATCTTCGGTCAGTCGATTAGCGACGACCAGGCCCGCAGTTCCTCCGCCCACGACGAGGTAGTCGTAGGTCTGACGCAGATTCGAAAGCGAGGCAGTCTCGGTCGTCATCCTGTCTTGGGCAATTGTTCGAGTCGAACTAGAAAGGAGGAGGCGTGTTCTGGGAGGCGAGTTTGTGGTCCAAGGATTTAAGTAGGGAGCATTCGTCCCTCTGCCCCTCAGCCTCGTCGCGGACATGATAACGAGAGCGTGATATGAGTGGAGTACTCACTGGAGCTTATGGTCATTCGTAGGCAATGGGACGAAAGAACCTCCCTTGACAACTACCGTGAGTGGCATTCAGATGAGGAGGCTATCCACTCTCAGCCCCCTCCCATAGGCTGTTAGAGTCAACTGCCAGCGATGAAGCAAAGTTTCGGCATCTGCTAAGCATAGTTTGGCTTGCACCGGTTCCACGTGCGATCCATGCGATCCATGCGATTCATCAACAGGGGAGGTGACTGGCAATCGTCGCACTTTAAGGCGCCGCCCCAAAGGATTCAGAGTGGATGTAGCAACATCCTGCTCGCTTTCCGGCCGGCTACCTCTTTTCATAAGCTACTGGCGAAAGCGTCGAGAGGGTGATCGCTTATAAATTGAAAACAGCACTCTCGCAAAATCCAGTCGTTGTGGCCACTGTCTTTAATGCTCTTGCCACTTTGACCACCGCGTTGCGCTTTTACGACCTGTGCTTGCGTCAAGTCGAGCCTGGCTTGCAAACTAACCCTTGAATCGATTCGATCATGAGCCCATCCAGACCAAGATTAGAACTGGACCATCATCTCGCAAAGGGCTTCGAATGAACGTAGATCTGCTAGTCTCGACCACTCAGGCCATCAACGAGGACCAGCAGGATTGGACGAACAACGGAACGCCGCATGAGATCAACAGCATCCAGGACATTGACATCGAGTATCGCTTCGCACACGAGAGAGTATTCTAGCCAGCCATGGGCTTGAGATGGGTTCAAAGCTCGCACGTCGTCAATAGTTGCAACGGTGCACAAGAATGATGTGCTTAATGTTGTGGCAGCGATAAGATAAGAGTGATCACATGATCCTCCACGGTCGGGGATTTCCCCAATTCTCCCCCGCAATTGTCCCTTCCCTTCTCCTCCCATCGCCCATCCATATGTTCCTTTGAGGCTTTCTTGATCATGCATCATGTACAGTTCCTGCTACACGTGTCGCCGCAGACATGTCGAGTGTCAAATGTCCCAGCCCCCGTGTAAAAAGTGCCAGAAGGCTGGGCTCGAATGCCTCCAAAAGAGGCCCCTTCGCTGGGTCAAAGGCGCAACTTTCCGCGGCACTGCGAAGCCATCCACATCCACAGAGAACACGCCGCAATCCAAGACGATATCCCCACCTCAGTCTGACTCCGAAATGGAGATTATGAATGGAGCGGATCGGTGGCATACTGGAATCTTCGATAGCCCCCTTCTCCGCATACCTTCAAGCTTAGACGAGCCCGTTACTCGAGGTCTAGACGAGGATTCTCGATACTACCTGAACTACTGTCAGTGAGCTGTTGGTCAAGATCCTGTCGCGAGGTGCTGCTGACATCAACGACAGACAGCAAATGCGTATGCAAGCTGTTTGTCATGTTCGATAGCCAACGCAATCCCCTCAGACAGCTCATTCCCGCGGCTATTGCCCATCCCGTGCTGATGGCATCCGTTGTCGCTCTCGCAGCGCGACACCGAGCAAACGCTACCCAGACGTTCGAACAGATCCAAGCCAGAGATTACTCTCGGGCTCTGAAACCTCGCTACAACGCTTCTTTGTACAAATACCGGGCGATCAAGGGGCTTTCGGAGGCTCTAGGCGACGGGAATACTGCGGTCGATATCTTGATCATTAGCGCATTCTTGTTGATTCTTCTGGACCTTTTCGAGTCGGGAAATGATAAATGGAACTTCCACGTCGAAGGGGTCAAGAAACTCATTGCGGCGATTCAGATTCCGGCGAGCTCGCGGGAGCTGGAAACAACCATCCAAGGGATGTGCGAATTCGCTATGCGACAGGTGTACTTGTACGATATCTCTCAACAGCCTCACTTTTGTCTGATTGAGATAAGCTAACTTGTGGTGTCATTGCAGAATCGATACTTTGGGTACGACCTTCACGCGTCCTGGGTTACTAGCCACCTCCGAATCCAACCAACCGTCTACGGCCCTCCAGATGAGCGTTGACAAGGCTTACTTGGGTTGCCCGGAATACTTCCTGAATGCTCTTCGGTCTTTCTCGGCAGCTAGGGACTGCCTGGCGAGCTCCAAATGCCTTGACACCATCGATGCGTATTCGCTGCTCCAAAGCATCCAGGTCTCACTGGAGTCTACGCAGAGCTTTGACTGCCATGTCTGGGCTACGGAACTTGAGCCTTCTCTGTCGACTTTCACTGGGCCAGCACAATCACTCCAATTGTTGGAGAACTTGGGTCAGGCCTATAGATTAGGGACATTGATCTACGGTTGGCGTGTCTGCGATGTGTTCACGGGAGACTCGACTCCGTTGGAGGACATAGTTGGGGAGCTGATCAATACTGTTGCTGCGCTACGGAGCAATGAGGCGTTGTTCAAGTGCATCCTCTGGCCCTTGTTCGTTGCAGGCCTGGAATCTCGGAATGCGTGCCAGAGGCAGTTGGTGGGAGATTGCCTTCGCAGGTTCTGGTTCGAAACCAAGTGTATCAATGTGATCAATGCAGAGAAGATTCTGCAGCGATTCTGGGCCGAGGCCGAGCAGAAACCGAATTCTAGGTCCAATTGGATCTTCAATATGGGACAGGTAGATGGTGATTGGCTTCTGATATGATTATGCTGAGTATAGCATCCATTCCAGTTCAGCGCCATTGAAGCCGTCCACGTCATTTGGTGCTGCCCGCCGGTCGCACGATTCGGTAGTTGATTGGCCACAATTTGCCCCACTCCAAAAGACTTCCCGATCCGGTTAGAGTCATCTCCCGGCCTGAGGCTTCGCAAGGAAACGAAGACATCGAATATCCCCGCGGACAGTTAATCATCGTCCCAAGATTGGTGAGACTGCTTCAAGTGGCTTCTACATTGTATGGTCAAGCTCGAAAACGAGCGGTTTATCAGCATGCGGATTACAAATCGTCACCATGAGCATATCGCGACCGGGATTGCGGAGAACTATAAAGACTTTCAACTTCTTCTCTCCTCAGTGACCCAGACATTCTTCAAGATCCAAACTATAACTTCTTAACCTTCAATCAATCTATTCTCGCCCTGCCAACATGTGCCAAAACGAGGTTGAACTCAACGGCTGGACCAGCGTTCCCGTCAACGCTGGTGCCATCTTCAAGGACCAGCCTTTCACCACCGCACCTGGCCCTCTCTCCATCGACGAGATCAAGTTTCCTTCCGACGATCCCGTTGTCGCAAAGACTCAGGAGTATGCTCAGGCCGTTCTCCATCCGCAGACCTTCAATCACTCGATGAGGGTGTTCTACTACGGTACGCCTGTTTGAACGACCCAGATCCACAGTCACTAATTTTGATCTGCAGGAATGGCCATCGCCAAACAACAGTTCCCCAAGCAAGCCGCGACTTTCAGTCCTGCTACCTGGGCTTTGCTCTGTCTTCTACACGATCTCGGTACAGCCGAGGAGAACCTGACGGCCACCCGGATGTCCTTCGATCTCTACGGAGGCATCAAAGCTCTGCAGGTCCTCAAGGACTTCGGCGCCACGACTGACCAGGCCGAGGCAGTCGCCGAAGGGATCATCAGACACCAGGACATGGGGGTAGACGGGACCATCACCTTCTTCGGGCAGCTCATCCAGTTGGCGACCCTCTACGACAATGTGGGGGACCACCCTCACGTCAAGAACTTCAGCAAGATCCTCCACGATACCACTCGGGAGGAGGTCAATCAGGCGCACCCGCGACAGCGCTGGTGCTCGTTCTTTGCGGATGTCATCCGGAAGGAGGAGACCATCAAGCCTTGGTGCCATTCCACGCATATTGTGGAGTTTGACAGTCAGGTCGAGGGGAACACTCTGATGAAGAAGTGGGAGTGAGCATTTTGGACAATGTCGTTTGATGTATGCACGGAAGCTATGATTTATTCGCTTGCATAAATGTCATCTCCACAAGTGTTCAATTGTTAATCCACCTGCTTCAATTCTGCGCATGTCATGTTCCACTGGTGACCAGATCGGGCCGACTCATTCAGAATGAGGCGATATTTCACGATCGACTCGATGGTGGCTGCAGCGCAGGTCTAACGCGCAGGCGAATCTACCGGTATGAGATCCAAGCCCACGGTAGGTGTTGATGTCCCTAGGAACCACTACGACCTAATATAAAAATTCAGCGCATTCCCAGAACGAACACATTCCATAAGGGAAGCACAACACGGATTTGCCTATAAGTGACGCTTATCTCGAGCGACCTAGTAGCTACATGAGAAGTATCTTAAATACAATACTAGGATTGCATCTCATATGACATGTAACGTGCAAGTTGGTAAATATACAAGATTGTGGATTGTTCGGTTCTGTTCCTCGGTCCTGCAGTATCCGGGCCGGGCAAGTGGCAAAGGAACCAATATTGCGATCGAGCCCGAGGTCCGAGCCGGTATTTCCTGTATGAAGTCCATATGCCGGGCAAGGCCAATGCCCAGGAGTGTATTGGCTGGTGTCCCTACGACTGGGGTGATAGATGAGCGGATTCCAACCCAACCTGACCGTTGGAAACGTCCCTCGGACCGAAACGGAAGTATCCTTAGATATGTCCTATCAGCTGATGCAATAGTCTTTGTAGCGGCACGTTCTGAAGAACAGACTGGCTCTAAATCAAAATGCCTCGCATCGTTTACATTTCACTAGATACTGGTCATGTATCTGGCTGACATCCTGCAATGTCCTTCGACCACGCTCAATTTTGAAGTTGATCCATAGCCGGAAGAGTCTCATGCTGAGTGTAAGGCCCCCACTTCGAAATAGGCTCAGGCTTGCTTATGGTGATGGCTTGCCTTATCGCTGCAGGAACCAATCGCTATATCAACTCTCGATTGCCTTGCAGGACGATCGCTGCCCCTTGCAGTTGTTCCTGGGCTGATGCATTCGCTGCTCGACTCGCGCTATTGACTACGTCTGCCCCTGATCTACGGCCAAGACTGGCGTTTGTCGAACTACGACTGAGGGAATAGAGGGATGATCACTAAGTTGACTGTCTTAGTGAGTGTCTCGGTGTTGTGTGTAGACCGGAGTATATTCGGCGGTGTTAGATTCGCGGTGTAGGAGACCGAGGTCGTCACACGGATATATGTTGCCGCTACTCGGTGGGTTGTAGATGCTACCTATTACTGTACTCCACACCCACCCAATATATTGTGGGCAGGACTGGTTTCGACGAAGTCGCCACCACGTAGCAGATACCTCCAGAAACATGTGCACCCATTGGGATATCGCCGCTGAAGCGTACTCCGTAAACACTTGATGCAAGCATACAAAGGAAGAATATTGTTCCGCGGCTGGCAGGCTTCCCCACCACGTGACCTGTATCCGACCGAGGGATCCGAGAATAGCGAGCCAGCCATGATGGATGCTAAGATTAGCCCTTCTCAGCTGGTTGTCTACATGGCTGTGCTGTGTCAGTGGCCACCGCGAGCAAGACAACTTCCTCGGAGGATTCTCCCTTTCGAGCCTGCTGGGTTCATTGCTTTTGATGCTTTGACACCATGGTAGTTCGTATCAATCATGCGAAAACCTTGATGATGATGATGATGATGATGTAATTTCGAATCTGTCTGACGATGGATGCCCTTCATTCCAAAACACCCGCCGAATGCGTTGCCCATTGTGTGCACCCGCCGAATGCACGCACAGTCGCAGACTCTCCTCCTCGGCCTTTCGGGAAGATAACGGGTCCATCAACTATTATTGCCCCAATGTTTTCGATGGAAAACCTGTCGGAGTGACCCGAATCACATTTCCCACCCCATTGGTCCGTCCCTCACGAAGGGCCATCGCCTGCCAACAACCAACTAAGGGTCCTGGAGGGGAGAAACATTGCCAACCCAACCACGCGCTGTCGTTGCCGTCCCGAGTGAGACAGTTCCGGCTATAATTAGTGTGCACCCGGAGGTCAGATGGAGTACGGTAACGGCGGTTTGCTGCCTGTCTGTGTGTTTTTGTTTTCATGTTTGTGTTAGGGTGTGATTTGGTGGTTGGTTCCTGAGGACCAAAAGATGTCGACGAACTCGATAGGGCATTTGATGATTTGACCCAAAACCGTCCCTCGTACCTCCGGTCCGCTTGATCCACCGCTCCCAGTTGGGCCAAATGATCACCACGGATGCAGTGAGGAGACAAAGGGACATTCCCTCCAGTATTGGCTGTAAAAGGTTGTACTCAGTCGGGCCGTCCGTATTATTGGCCCCTCCGGTGCTTTAGCGGTTGCTGTCTTATCTATTTTCGTTGACATGTTCAGACCTGTCCAGTGGAATGAGAGGAACCGCCCTCTTGGTGCCCTTGCCCCATTGCCACCTGGGAAAAAAAAGAATAATCATTAGATTTGGAGACAGACTTTTTCTCCCCCATCTCTGAGACATCCCAACTCGTCGATATTACTATATAACTCCTCCGCCGGTCTATCCAGCTGCAGGCTTCTTTCTTTCATTATCACCATCACCAACACTCGTTCTCTTTGGACTTGACCCCTCGCATTCGTTTTGCATCCCAGTCACCCGTTTAAGTCAACTTTTTGCTCAATTTGATCAGCCACCATGCGTTTCTCCTACGCCGTTCTGCCCCTGGCTGCCATTGTTGGCGGTATGTATTCTCTTCTGGTGGATCTGATCACCCTGCAAAACACATGGTCACTAACGCCTGCCTGCAGCCCTCGAGGTCACCTCCCCCACCAAGGGCGAGGATGTTGATGTCTCCAACTCCTTCACTGTCAAGTGGGACTCCGTCAGCACCGACGCCTCCAACTTCAATCTTTACATTGTCAACAACGCCGTCTACCCCCCGGTTGAGCAGAAGATCGCCAGCGATGTCGAGACCTCCAAGGGCTCCTACACTGTCTCTGGCCTGTCCGGCCTGACCGACGGGTACGTTCTCTGTCGGGGAGTGTACCAATGCGCAGCCGACTAACCTTCCCAACAGCAAGGGCTACCAGATCAACCTGGTCTCCGACGAGCCCCAGAACAGCGGCATCCTCGCCCAGTCGCAGCAGTTCGACGTGAAGGGCGCCTCTTCCAGCTCCAGCTCCAGCTCCAGCTCCAGCGCCAGCTCCACCAGCACCAGCAGCGCCTCTTCGTCTTCCTCCTCCTCCTCCTCCTCCTCCTCTTCGTCTTCCGCCTCCTCCGCCTCGACCACCCTCACCTCGACCGCCAGCTCTTCTACCGGTACTGCCAGCACCCTCATCTCTACTACTGCCCAAACCACCTCTTCTCAACCCATCTCTTCCTCCTCCATCAGCGGCGCTCAGTCGTCAAGTGCGCGCGCCAGCACCCCAGTGGCGAGTACTAACAGTGTGTCGCCCTCAGGATCCGCTACCCCCAGCTCGACGGCCAACGGCACTGCCCCGACGGCCTCTGTCGCCCCCGGTGCTGGTTCCGCCCTGACTGCCCCGCTGACCGCCGTTGCCGGTCTGGTCATGGGCGCCATGGCTCTTGTTCTGTAGACGAGCATGCCCCAGTTGATCCGCAACCGGTGGACAGCCCTGTCCCACCCTCACCGAACCGGACCCCCGGATCGGAACCCGATTTGATTTTCCACTTCGCAATACGTTAATTACTACTATGGACATAAAAGCACCCTTTCGCGTGAAGTGAGGGTGCTGTATTAATTGGATCGTGTCGGAGTGATTGGTTTGGCTGTTATGTGTTTATTTCCATGCTATGTTCTAGAATCATAACAATTCAGTTGGTTGGACCAAATAGTGGTCGCATTGGAGCTCTTTTCCCTGGGATCCCCGCGTAAGAACCTCGGATATGGCCGACCGTGCTTGTGTCGCTTGCCTGTTCCTGAATTGACTGTGCTACCTTAGGCAAAACATGGTTCATCCCAGCGGGATCCTTGGAGTGGAAAGTGCAGGCAGCGAGTCTGACATCATCCACCGCCGAAAGCAGTGGAATGCCGAGCGGCCGACCGGGGCCAGGAAAAACTGGGAGACAATCCACCGCCTGAGACCCTGATTGTCCTGTCGTATGGAGGGGTATTGAAAAATACGCACTGCATTCGGAACCGCACGGCGGGCTTGCCGGAAAGGGCGTTAGTGCGTCCCCGTGCCGTGAGTTTTTCAGTCCTGGTCTGACACTGAGGTGGTCAACCACGCCGGATTCTCTCTTCCGAGACATTTATTTCTTTCCACCTTTCTTTGCCTTTCAGGTTCTGGTGGTTTTCCTGCCAGGAACAGCAAGAGACCCATAATGCAGTGTTAGTGTCTCAATCTGTTTTCGGATCTGGTGGGAAGTGCAGGCCTGCTCTGTTCTCGGCGGGTTGCTCGATACGATGAGGCTTGTGGGTGGATGAGTGGAGGCGGGCTTGGCGTGAAGCCATGAGATAAGGGAAATGAGCTCTACACTTTTCTGCATGCGAAGGATTGACATCCCTGCCGTGATGCAGTGATGGACAGGGGGAATTGACCTGATGCTTCAATTGATAGGAGAGAGTGTGGTGATGAGAGGAAATGAGATGAGATGAGATGAGATGAGATGCAATGGGTGCAGACTGCAGAGTGTGGTCTGTCTGTCAGTCAACAGAAAGTCAGACCTATTGGCAATAATGTTTCAGTGCACTGCCCCACTTGCATTCGGATTACTTGATATTTTACTTTTTGGAGGAGAGGAGTTGCCCGATTGGGGTGTGTAGACTCTTTGGGATCCCATTGACTTTATTTTACTTTTTGTGCTGGTTGTGCTGGTTGTGCTGCTCGTGCAGTGGTGGTGGTGCCAGCCAGCCAGCCCTCGTATCCCGGTTTATTGGGGGTGGTCCATGGCTCGGTCCGGTGGGTGGTACCCTTCTCAGGCTTACCTGTGGCTCATCTTACCGTAGACACAGTGCAATACTGTATGTACCCCAGGTATCCCCTCTACCCATAGATATCATGATCACTGCATCCGCCAAACTGTGAGTCAGCGCCGTCTCATCCCACACCAAGCAGGGTCAAACACATACAACGGGTCCATCAGCCTCCCGCGGTCCGGCGCCGCCGCATCAACCCAAACGCTAACCCCCCCTCCCTCCACGGGGAACTCCCCATACCCCCGCGCGTCAATCACCACCGCACCCAACTTGCTGCTGTCGCCCTCCAACACCTCCGTCCACGTCGCATGCGCGTGTCGCTGCCCGACATACATGCGCTTCGTGGCACGCCCGGGCGCGTTGCTCAACACACACGCCAATCCCGCCGGGTGGCGCGCGTTGCCGTATCGGACGAAGCCTGCGGTTGCACACGGGGTGGGGGTCAGATACGAAACGCCGCCACGTGAGGGAAGTTTATGTCCAAAAGTCATGAAGTCATCGCCCGATTGGGCAATGTGGGCAATTTGGGCAATTTGGGGGATGGCTAATTGATTCGATGATGGTGGGTCGGCGGGAACGTACCGATGCAATGCGCTTGGTCGAAGTAGTCCTGTTGCTCGCCGTAGGCGAAGAGCTTGCGGGTGCGGGTGAGGATGGGGAGCTGGTAGGCGTAGACCGCGTCGCGGTGGGCTTGTTGTCTCTGGGCGTCCCAGATGCCGTACAGGTCGCCGTAGAAGAGACAGGGGCGGCCCTCTTGGCGGAGGAGGATGAGGGCGTAGGCGAGGAGTTTGAACTCCGGGGTGATGGTGTTCTGCACCCGGGTTAGTATTGATACGGCTGTGGTCGGATAGTATGGGTGGGGAGGTTCTTACCTCCATCATTTGGCCGGGTTGCTGGCTTGCTGTGAGTGATCCTATAGTCAGGGTGCAGGGTGAGCTGCACTTACCGTGTCATGGTTCTCGACGAATGTCTATGCTCCAAGGTCAGCACTCCGTCAATCTCACCTTCACCCCTTCACCATCTATTCCCCCCCCCCCAGAATCATACAGCAAGAGAAGACATACCAAAGCATTCCCCCCACACCGTTCGACCAACGTCCCCCGCAACACGCGCCGCAGATCCCCACGGCCTTTCTCCAACGACACCCGCGAGAAATTATGCACCAGCGGCGCGTCGACCGCGACCACCGTCCCCTCCATCTCGGTCTGGACGTACCGCACCAGCTCCTGCACATCCCCCGTCCAGTACTCGCCGATGACGACGAACTCCGGGTCCGTGGTCGCGCGCATGTGCGCCGCGAACGCCTTCTGGAACCGCATGGAGAAGTGCTTCGCCGCGTCCAGCCGCATCCCCTTCAACCCCAGCCGCTGGCCGATCCAGGTGCCCCAGCGCAGCACGTCCGCGCGCACCTCCGGGTGCGAGTAGTCCAGGTCCGCGAACATCAGGTAGTCGTAGTTGCCCAGCTCCCGGCCCACGTCCTCCGCCCAGCCGGGCTTCCCCGCCCCGCAGATCCGGAAGATCGCGTTCTCTTGGGCGGCGTCGTCCCAGTCGACCCCGCTGAAGTGGTACCAGTGGTATTCCTGGGCGCTGTGGACGGGGCCCCGGCCGGAGAAGCTGAAGCCCGTCCAGCCGGAGATCTCTTGCGGGGTTGCGATCTCGACATCGCGTCCTGGTTCCCGTCGCGTGAGCATCACCTTGGGTACGTGGAATGAGGAGAAGCATACGCTGAGAATCAACCTTGACCGCTTCGAACCGTTCCGGGAAATCGGCGCCCGCCTTGTGGTTCAGCACCGCATCCCAGTACACGCCCACCCCCAGGGCGTGGGCGTCCTCCATCAGCGCCTCGAGGTCGGCGAAGGAGCCCCATTTGGTGGCGGTGCAGCCCTTCTGGTCGAACTCGCCCAGGTCGTACAGATCGTAGATGTCGTACCCGTTCCCCGACGGGTTCATCGCCTTGCACCCCGGCGGGAGCCAGACGGAGTCCACCCCGATGGCGTGCAGGGCCGGCAGGGCGCGTTTCAGCCGTCGCCAGTGGCGGTTATCGTTCGGGATGTGCCACTCGAAGCCTTCGAAGAGCAAGGTGTTGTCGCTGGGGTCGTGCCAGCTGGGCTGGGATTCCACGTTGTTGGCCTTGGCTGTGCAAAACCGTTCAATATATATCTCTCGATGTATGGGGGGGGGGGGGGGGGGGGGGGGGGGGGGAGCGGGATGGCTAACCCTCTATTTGCTTCCAGTCATGGAGGTCTCTTCGCTTGCGCGGGCGGAAACACCACAGCAAGGAATCCATTGCGCTGGGTTGATTTGTGTGTGTGTGTGTGTTATGTTTAAGGGAGCATGTATCTGGAATTGTATAGCTGGTGGCAACTGTGCTCTATACACCTGCATATACACCTATACACATACAGGAGATCGGATTGGCCCCTGACTGCTGCGGTGCTGTTTGTTGCTTGCAGCCACTGCACTGACTGACTGGTCCTCACTAAGTTAACCACCTAAGCTAAATTAGTCCATGTGTTTACCTTAGTTATCCCGAGGAGCTTTTCTTACGCCGCCGGGTACAGCTGTGACCGCCTTGCCCCATTGGAAGGACGCGATCCGAGGCAAGACAGCCCAAGCGAGACACAATACTCGTACCGGGCGCGTAAATTACCGGCCACCCTCCGAAATCCCCGACGGAAAAATATTTATTCAATCGAAGAAAAAAAGCTCTCCGTGCCAAGTGGAGTCCCCTTCAAAAGCCGGTCGAACAGAAATAAAAATGGGGCCTGACGTTGGAAAACCGAGAGCTGTCCATTTTTAGATGCAAGCTTCGGCGACGGAGCGAAGGTCTTAAGTTGTGTCCAAGACATTCCAGATTGTTGCCCCACTACGGCGAAGACATTGCAGATTAAAAGGTTCTGAAGAGATTACTTGATGGAAAATGCATGCATGCCCCTGACTGCGCCGGGGGGTTGAGCATATTGAAGCATCAAGATGATTACCGGCTACACCAAGAGGGGGTTCAGTCAAGCAAGGGCCTGCCGCAGAATCGAACAAGAAAAATAAATGAATAAAGAAATGAGAAACCAGGTACAGCGCCAATCGAGAGAGGAACGAACACCAAGGTATGTAAAGTATGTACATCAAGAAATTGCTTAGTAGCAGCCGCAGCAGTAAAGAAATAGTAAAAAAAAAGGTTTAATCAATCCCGTAATCGGGGGACACCATTTTCAAAACAACACCCCAAACTAAACAAGCAAGAAGCTAGCCAACAGTATAATCACCGCAACCAAACCCCCGGACACCTGCGCCACGGTCGGACTGGCCGTGGAACCCAGGGCGGCGGCCGCCGCCGACAGCCGCAGATGGCTCAGCGAGGTGGCGTTGGAACTGAAGCCACACAGGCCACTGCCGGGCATCAGCGTCACCGGGAAGAAGACCCGCGGCTCGCCCTTGTCCATCGGCACGATCAGCTGGCTGTAGTCGTTGACCGTGTAGTTGACACAGTTCAGCACCTCGACCACCTCGATGCCCGCCCCGTAGGTCATGGGCAGCGTGACGTTGTACGAGCTGCCCGTGCTGCCCTGCGTCGAGAGCAGCATCACCACCTGCCGCCCGAACGCGCCCTTCCAGAACGCCAGCTCGCTACCGCCCTGGTACAGCGGGATCGTCTGCATCTCGATGTACTCCGGGTCCAGCGTGTACGCGTGCTTGCGCACCCGGTTCAGCTTCGAGATCAGCGTGTACAGCGTCGAGCTCGTGTCGTACCCGTACTCCCACAGCGCCTCGCGGTTGTGGGTGCCCGCATACGAGCCGTTCAGGTGCTGCTCCTGGCCCTGATACACCCAAGGGATTCCGTCGTAGAGCATCTCAAAGACGATGGCGTTCTTGGCCAGCTGGATTGGGGAGGGATGGTTAGTTTCGGGCCCTTTTCTTCATTCATGCTCATGCGGAGGCTTGTGCTCCATGGAAGCGAAGGGGGCTTACCGTCAGATCGTCGTTGGCGAACGCGAACCGGTCCACATCGTGGTTCTCAATGAAGGTGGGCATGGCGGGGACATCGTTGCACAGTTGCTGGACGAGGGCGATCCGTTGGAACAGGGCGCTCGGGTTGCCGCGCGTGAACGCATCCAGAATGGTGTAGTACAGCGGGAAATTGGGCAGACTGGGCAGGTAGTTGTCCTGGTAGTCGCAGACGATGGAGGCGTTCTGCTCGAAGACCTCGCCGGTCATGAAGGTGCCCACGCGGTCGTGGAAGGTGGTCAGGAACCCGGGGTTGACCGACTTGGCGGCGTCGATGCGCAGCCCGTCGATCGAGTACGTCGAGATCATCTGCGTGGCCCAGTCGACCAGCATGTTTTGCACCTCCTCGTGCTCGGTGTACAGATCGGGCAGGGCGACAATCTTGTCACCGGTCTGGCACAGCTGGGCCTGCGTGTAATTGTTCCAGTTGGAGATCTCGCAGTAGCTGTGGTAGTAGGACGAGCTGTTAAAGGGAGTCAAGGCCGAGTAGTCGATGTTGGTGGCGGGGTTCTTGCCGTTGGTCATATAGGCCATGTTGTTGATGACCGTGTCCATCATGAGATACATGCCTCGCGAGTGGACGGCGGCACTCAGATCCAGCAGATCTTGGTGCGTCCCGAACCGCGAATTGAGTGAGTACAGATCATCCGGCCAGTATCCATGGTAGGCCTCACCATACGAGGCCCGACCGTCGATATTTTGGATAATGGGCGAGATCATCACCGCATCGAACCCCATGCCCTGGATATAGTCGAGCTTATCAATGGTGCCGCGCCAGGTGCCTCCGCAGTACAGTCCGGCCGTGGTGTTACAGGCGGCCGCCGTGGTGCCCGCGGGCAGCGCAAACCGGTCGGTCATCGTCTGATAGATACTGCGCGACTTCCATTGTTGCGTCGTCGCGGCTGAGACGGTCTCATACCCACCGAGGAGGGCGAGGGTGAGAACCCATTGCCCAAGGCTGGCAAGTGAAACCATGGTGTGTCGTGGGTCGTGTGTCGCGAGATCTTGTGCGGGTGGTGCTGCACGACCTCCCCAAGGCAAAAAAGACGGTGGATGGGCGGAGGATTCAAAGGAGGAGAGGGGAAATTTACTTCCAGTCAATTCGGTCTAGGGTAATGGCTGGTGTGCTGCACGCGGTTCAAGAGCACCAGAGCGATGGGCGCATTACCACCAGGGGGACCAAAACAAGGAATAGCGAGAGACGAACAAGAAGAGAATAGCGTGTGTGATGCAGAAATGCAGAGATGCAGAAAGAACGGCAGTAGTCGGTAGAACGAACGAATGACAGCAAGTAGGCTGGAATGAATGGGAATGAATGAATGGGATGCGTTAACAGGCAAAGAGCGTCATCTCGATAAGATGAGGGGAATGGCAGAGGGCATGATTGGGAAGAGGAGATAACTTTGCAGGAGACGGAAAGGACGACAACGTCTACATAGTAGTCATGGCTGGCCACGACCGGAGGGGGAAAGCCCAGAGAGGTAAAAAAGCCCTAACTAACTGAGTGCAGTCAACTACGTCTGGAGAAATCTTCAAGCTATCCCCAAGCAGCTAGTTGACGGGGCCATCACCTTCTAGTTGGATACTAGTTGCGGCCATAAGAGGTCATAAGATATGGTAGTGTCCATCATTCCTATCCAGGGGCAATGCTTGTTGCGGCGAAAAATGGGTAAACCTGGATGAATTGGGGAGTTAGTGGGTGCCAGTGGAAGCAAGTGGGAGCAAAGTTCGAGCAAAGTTCCCCTCTTTTCCAGGGCTTGAGCGGCCGCTGGACCCAATTTCCTTGGAAAGGGTGGAAGTTCCTCGGCAGAAAAGCAGGTACGACAACACCCGCTGGTGTCCGGTTACAAATGGATTATTGCCGTTCATGGGCTAAGTTGGCTGCTAACGTTCCCCATGTCCGTCTCGACTAGCGTGGGAAGAAGGAAAAACAGAAGCGTGGGTGGGGGTGAGACAGGAGAACTCTTAGTCTATTAGACCGGCTGCAGGCCTATCACCCTCGACGAATCGAGGGCCAACCTCCATATCAGGTCTCACTTGCACCACCAGGCCGCATGCATCCTCGCCTGCTATTCGTTGGTTCCCCTTTTTCGCTTGCTTATAGTCAAGCAACCGGTTGGTGGTGCCTGAGCGGCGATAATATTAACCCCTGTCAGGATGCCCACGATCGAAATAGGGGGGCCATCATGGGCGGAAGTTGACAGAATGACTGGAATTCGTAGTGGATAAACTAGACTGACTGACTGCACAATAACCGAAAGCAGTAGACAGCAAGACAGGGCAGGGCAGGGCAGGGCAGGGCAGAAACTTCGATCAGGGTTCGATCTCCATTCTCAGCCCAACCGTAGCACTGGTGGATCCGGGCACGAACACCCTATTATTCCTACGAACTGCAGAGCAAACTGGAAGGGGGATTTAGGGAAGGGAATTGGGCTGATCAACGGGTAATTTCAGGGGATTGACAGGGGCACGTGTGGTTTTTTTGGTTTGTTCGCCAGAATGAGGGACTCGACGGGATTTTCGGGCCTGAGTTGGCCCCTGCATGCAGGCATAGGCGTGAATCACCAACAAACAAACAAACATGTAACCAGCCTCAGGCATCAAAGGCATTCAGGGACCGGGAACAGCAGCTGCGATAAGCGAGGTCAGGAGAAAGTCTCGAGCTGGGAGTCTGGGACTCTTATCACCACCGTCACCACCACTAACTAACGTACCACCACCTACGTCAGATATCATTATTGCCAATCCTGGATAAAATTAAATAAAGGATCGAATCTAGAAGCAAAGGAACAATCCCTTCCTCCCCCCTACATGAGTCAAGGGAGGGGAGGGGCTTCCGTCGGGACGATGCCGGATCACCTTATCCATCCCAGAGAGTGATCGAGTGCAACCGTTGCATAGCATACCACATGGACAACATAGCCCTCGGGTAGGGTGGCGAGGAGCCGTCCGCGGAGAGAGCCCTATTTACATCCACTCTCCGGGAGCAGCGAGAGACACTGGAAATTGCATCAATCTATTATTAGGAGGGGCACGGGGAGTGATCAGTCATCAGCAAGGTAGCATTGCAGCCTCAGGCTTCCCATCAGTAGTGAAGGGTGGATTGATCACATCGTCAGTCAGTCTTGTATGGAACCGGTGGTCTGAGACATGGAATGGGACGGTGTGGCTGGCAGCCAACCACAGCCCGCCAAAGGATCAGTGCCAAGACCCTGGCTGGTGGGTCATCATGGATAAATTACCGCAGCTGCATATGCACGCTGTAATTTGCAATGCACAAATACC